ACCGAGGTCCTGGTCGGCAGGACTAACCGGACCCTATCGTGCATCCACAGATGCATCTCAAGTAGGGCCAAGGAGGTGATCCTCCCCCTCTACACGACACTGGTCAGGCCGCAGCTGGAGTACTGTGTCCAGTTCTGGGCACCCCACTTCAAGAGGGATGTGGACAACATTGAGAGGGTCCAGAGGAGGGCCACCCGCATGATCTAGGGACAGCAGGGCAGACCCTACAACAAGAGGCTACGGGACCTGAACCTGTTCAGCCTTCACAAGAGAAGGCTGAGGGGGGACCTTGTGACCGTCTATAAACTCACTAGGGGGGACCAGAAGGGTTTGGGGGAGACCTTGTTTCCCCTAGCGCCCCCCGGGATAACAAGGAATAACGGCCACAAGTTATTGGAGAGTAGGTTTAGATTAGACATCCGCAGGAACTACTTCACAGTTAGGGCAGCTAGGATCTGGAACCAACTTCCAAGGGAAGTGGTGCTGGTTCCTACCCTGGGGGTCTTTAAGAAGCGGCTTGATGCCTACCTGGCTGGGGTCATTTGAGCCCAGTTTCCCTCCTGCCCAGGCAGGGGGTCGGACTTGAAGATCTACAAGGTCCCTTCCGACCTTACTTCTATGATTCTATGCCTGTGGCAATTACCAGTTAGTCAAGCCTGCCTGCCTGATTTTGATTTTGCTTTGTTCTCCTCCACTGCCAATCACCAGCTGAACTCCTAAACCCTGAGAAGCTGCATGCACTCAGAGGAAATATTGTGTGTGCTGTGCAACACCCACCCAATTACTGCTCCCCACATTAACAAAATTCTGAGCCAGTCCCCCACCACCCGGCCTTGGCTTGGCTGCTATGTCCTTCTCTGGGTCACAATAATAAAATCCTAGACCTTGAAAACCCTCTCCACCAAACTCTCCCTCTTAGGTGGGGTGGCTGAGAAGCATGGAGAAGCTGCATGCGCTCAGAGGAAATATTATGGGCGCTGTGCAGCACCCCCACCCCCCCACCCCAAATTTCTGCCTTACTTCACAATACCCACATTCCGGGCAAACACCCTTCCCCCCCGCCCCCCACCCTCAGTCCAGAGGTGGGCGTGCCCTCTTTCATTAGTGCAAAGTGTCTCAAACAAGCCTGGTTTTCTTTGGTTTGGCTTACCTCCCTGCCCACAACCCACACCTCTACAACCCTTCCCATTACAGCAGACAGATGTGGACGAAAATTTCATTTTAAATTTCACCAAGGCATTTATTTTATTGTCAGTAATCAAAGCAGAACTGAAATAATGCAGGAACACAATGCCCACTCCCCGATTTCCTACAGAAGTAACAGCACTAACAACAAAAACCCCATCACCCGTCATAGGCTCTTCTTCCTCTTCAGTGCGCCCTCCGTCTTCCCCTCCCCCACACCCCAAGTGTAGTGGTGCTCTCCTTGGTCTGATGGAGTAGGGGTGCCCCTCACTCACAGGCACAGGGGATGTCACTGAGGTTGTCACTGTCGGGGGGCTGATCACAGATAGGGGTCTCTATGAGGTGATAGGATAGGGGGGCATGCACAGTTGATGTCGCATGGGTGATCCTGGGTGGGGGCAACTCATAAATGGGGGCTGGAGCCATGCATCTAAGGAGCTCCTATCTAAACATGCCCTCCATTCTCCAGATCCAGCTGGAACCGTCTAGCCAGGTCAAGGAATTCTCTTGCGCTAGCCATGATGTCCCAGTGAACTGTTGCCTCTCACTCTTCAGCTTTTCTATACACCTCCCGCTGTTGGTCCTGCCATTTATCCACAAACCATACTCGCGATTCCATGGCCACCACCAAAGCCTCCATCATGCTTTATCTTGACAGTCGCAGCCTGCAGCACTGTTCACACATTTGCTCACCTCCAATCCATGCTGGTGTCTGCATTTTGAGCGCACATGCCCGCCTTCCAGCGGATGCATTAACTGGTAACAGGAATGGGGGGAAAAAAAAAGGTGTTCCTGGTCAAAGATCTCATCCCCACTCCTTGTAGCAGATGGACTACTGGTGATCACCAAGCAGCATCCTTGCCACTTGGCGAATTAATGCAGCCACCCACAAAGGACAATTATGCAGAAACCCAGAGGTCTCCACAGTCCACTAAGGAATTCACTGTACATCTCTCAGCACCACAAATTCCTGCCACTAAATGAATTAACACTCTCCCCTCCATCCCCTAAGTAACTTTAAGAAAGGGCACTACACATCCACCCCCATGTAAGCAAAACACTGCGTGATTGCAAGCAGCAGACATATTTGCCACTTACAGAATTAACGCTCTCCCTTCTGCGTTTGGCCTTGGTGCAAAAGCGGGGCTAGATCCACATTAGCCCTAGTCACCCAAACTGATCTAATGCCCCTTCTCCATAACTTACAAGTCCCTGGAGTGGATCCTCAGGCATCTCAGGCACCAATACCAATCTTTAGGTCTCTGGAATTTCTGGCATGTCCCACAATTTTGGAGACAGTACCATCATGGAATTCGATGTGTCCTTCTCTGGCTTATGCAGACAAGACATCAGAGATGGTGGGGTCATGGTCAAGACAACTTCATTTCGGTAAACCTTTTAACTGTTTCAGGCCAATTTAAACCAGTTTAACATGTTTGTATGTCTGTCCACTTCAAGTTTAAACTTTATTTAAATCATTCCAAGTATTGTGTGTGTCCATGTCGTAAGAGCGTGCCCATCAATCAAAGAAAGCGGCAGCAGAATGGATAGGGAGTGAGAGATTTAAAGTGGGAGTTTAAAGCAGGAGAAGGAACCCAAGCAAAGAGGTCTTAGGCTGGAAATCCCACATTACCACAAGATCTAGTTACCCAGGTAAGTGACAAGGGTCCGGCAGGTCCTAGGAATCAGAGGGGGGAAGGGGCAATAGGAGGCCTTAAATGCCTTTACATTAATGCTCAAAGTATGGTGAATAAGCAGGAGGAACTTGCCTTCTGGATAGCTAGTACAAACCCAGACATAGCAGGGCTCAATGAAACCTGGTGGGATTCAACCCATGACTGGGCGGTAAACATTAGGGGCTACAGACTATACAGGCAGGACAGAACAGGGAGGAAAAGCAGGGATGTGGCACTCTACATCAAAGAGCAACACACATCCTCAACTAACAGGATGGGGTCAGAGGAGGGGAAGACTGAAATGCTCTGGGTCAGAATACAGGTGGGTCACGGGGAAAGGGACTTAACTGTAGGGGTCTACTACAGACCACCCAACCAGGGGGAAGAGCCGGACCGGGAATTCTTGGGACAGCTTGCGAAGGCAGTTAAGTCAAGGGATGTGGTCATCATGGGTGATCTAAACTACCCAGACGTTTGCTGGGAGGAGCAGTCAGCCAGGTCTGACTGCTCACCTGTGTTCCTTGCAAGACCTCCACCTCACCCAAGAGGTGCACAGTCCCACTGGGGGAATGCCCTGTTGGACCTGGGTCCTGACCAGGTCATCGCCTGTGGCGATGGGACTCCAGGTCCTCGACCACCTGGGTGATAGCAATCATCACCTACTGGAATTCACCATCCAGCGCAGGGTGTCAAGAGCCTGCAGCAAGGCAGTAGCCCTTGACTTCAGGAGGGCTGACTTCAACGAGTTGAGGAGATTGGCAGGAGAGGCATTCATTGCGCTCCCAGAGAGTAGGGGAATTAGGTCTCCAAGATGAGTGGTCATTCCTTAAGGAGACTATCCTCCAAGCAGCCCAAGGGGTGACACTCGCAGTGCGAGTCAAAGGGGACAAGAGTGCTCAAAA